AGAATAAGGAATAGAATAGAAATTGAAATAGAAATGGAATAGAATAGAATAGAAAATAGGATAGGAATAGAATAAGGAATAGAATAGAAATTGAAATAGAAATGGAATAGAATAGAATAGAAAATAGGATAGGAATAGAATAAGGAATAGAATAGAAATAGAATAGAAAATAGGATAGGATAAGATAGGATAGGATAGGATAGAACTGGAAAGACCTTGGAAGTCTTCTAGTCCAGCCGCCATGTATTACTCGAATTGAACCAAATTAATGTGCAGAAAATTTAAGTTGAATTATACCTGGTTCTTCTTCTACCGTACCCATCTCTCCTAGATCATTCCCATTTTGGAATGCCAACTCTGGGTTAAAGCAGGATGCACACCAATATTCCCTTTCCGCCCCCACACGCACTACTGGGAGGCCAAATGTGAACTTTTGAAGTCCCTGCTCAAAATGCAGATGGTTTTTGGAAAGCAAATCTCGTTCTACTCTGCCCCAAATGCCTGCATGTTAAAAAGGATCATATGATTTGCAGGATGTGCTGCTCGGACATCCAAGTTTTAAAAATAGAGGCCAAGTTTTCATTGCAGCAACTCAAGACTCGTGATTGAGTTACACATCACTTAGAAGGGACAGTCAAAAGCCGGAGTGGACTTCTGGGGCAAAGAGCCTACAGACATGGACGGTGTTTCCTAGAGCCTTTTTGGGAGGAGGAAAACAATGAAAGAAGTGGTGAGAGTCACTTTTGTGAGATGGGGGAGTCATATACATTTGAGAGAGAGAGAGAGAGAGAGAGAAAGAGAGAGGGAGGGAGAAAGAGAGAGAAAAAAGAGAAAAAGGAAAGAAAGAGAAAGAAAGAGCAAGAGAAAGAGAAGAAAGAAAGAGCAAGGGAAAGAAAGAACAAGAGAGAGAGAAAGAGAAAGAAAGAAGAAAGAAAGAAAAAAAAGAAAGAAAAAGAAAAGAAAGGGCAAGGAAAAGAAAGAGAAAAAGAAAGAGAAGAGAAAGAAAAAGGGAGAAAGAAAGAAAAAGAAATGAAAGAGAAAAGAGAAAAGAGAAAGAGAAGAAGAAAGAGAAAAAGAAAGAGCAAGAGAGAGAGACAGAATAAGAGAAAGAAAGAATGAAAGAAAGAAAAGAATAAAGAGAAAAGAAAAAGAAAAAGAGAAAAGAGAAAGAAAGGAAAAGAAAGAGAAAGAAGTGAGAAAGAAAAAGGGATAAAGTGAGAAAGAAAGAAAAAGAAAGAAAGAAAAGAGAAAGAGAAAAGAGAGAAAGAAAGAGAAAAGAGAAAGAAAGAGAAAAAGAAAAGAGAAAGAAAAGAAAAGAGAGAGAGAAAGAAGGAAGGAAGGAAAGATAGAGAAAAGAGAAAGAGAAAAAGAAAGAGAAAAGAGAGAGAAAGAAAGAAAGAGACAGAGAAAAGAGAAAGAGAAAGAAAGAGAATGAGAAAAGAGAAAGAAAGGAAAAGAAAAGAGAAAGAAAGGAAAAGAGAAAGAAAGGAAAAGAGAGAGAGAGAAAGAGAGAAAGAGAGAGAAAGGGACGTAGAGTCACTACAGGTAGATTTACAGCATAAGCTCATAATCTCCTGGGCAGTTCAGGCCTTGTGATATTTGGACCCGATCTATTTACTTGGCCAACCCTTCTATTCTGCACAGCTGCTTCTCCTATCCCTCCATCCCCTCCGTCCAATGTGTGGGGCAGTTCAGGCCAAGACAGAGCTCTGGCAAAAATGGCTGCATTTTTATTTTATTTTATTTTTAAACCAAGGGAACGAAGGGGGGAAAAAGACAGCCCGGAAGCTGCAGCATAATAAATTGGATCCCTGGTTTCCCTCTTGCAAAAGAAATCCAGCAGGAAGGAAAATGCACGCAGCATCAGCTCCGCATGCCTGCCTCGGCCTCTTGCATGTGTTGTCTGCATGATTGGATTGCGCAGACCGCCTTAAGAAACCGAAGCTGAGGCAGCTGCGGAGGGGAGTGGGGGGTGGGGGAGTCTGTGGTATCACATGTAGAGGCGACAGGAGGAAACAGCCTTGGCCAGAGTTGGGGTTTGGGACTGGATTTTGCACCAGGCTCTAATGGAGGGGGTCCGGTATTGGAGCGAGTCCTTGAGAATCTTGGATCCCTCCCTCGCGGACCTCAAAAGACTTTGCAAACTAATTGCAACGTTTAAAGCTGCCAAAGGAGAAAATGATTAAATGCATCACTAACAGAATGATCTTATTAACGCTATGCAATGTTGGCTTGAGCGGAAAGGTAGGGGCCGACTCGCTTGGAATAAGCTGAACTCCTGGTGACATGAGAGACACAGAGGTCCCCTTAGTTCTCCGGACAGCTGAAGGGAAGTAGCTTGACATTGCCTTCTTCCATAGAAGAGGAGAGAGGAGAGGAGGAGAGGAGGAGGAAGGAGAGGAAAGGAAAGGAAAGGAGAGGAGAGGAGAGGAAGAAGGAGAGGAAGAAGGAGAGGAGAGGAGGGAGGAAAACAGAAAAAGTAGAAGACAGAAGAGAGAGGCGAGGGGAAGAAATAGGAGGGGAAAGAAGAGAGGAAGGGAGAAAAAGGGAGAGGAGAGGAAGAAGAGGGGAGGGGAGGAAGAAGGAGAGGAAAGAAGAGAGGAAGGGAGAAAAAGAGAGGAGAGGAAGAAGAGGGGAGGAAGAAGGAGAGGAAAGAAGAGAGGAAGGGAGAAAAAGGGAGAGGAGAGGAAGAAGAGGGGAGGGGAGAAAGAGGAGAGGGCAGGAGGGGAAGAAGAAGGAGAGGAAAGGAGAGGGGAGGGGAGGAAGAAAGAGGAGAGGAGAGAGAAGAGGAGGGAATGGAAAGGGGAGGGGAGGAAGAAGGAGAGGAAGAAGGAGAGGAGAGGAGAGAGGAAAACAAGAAAGTAGAAGAGAGAAGAGAGAGGCAAGGGGAAGAAGGAGGGGAAAAAAGAGAGGAAGGGAGAAAAAGGGAGAGGAGAGGAAGAAGAGGGGAGGGGAGGGAGAGGGGAGAGGAGGAAGAAGGAGAGGGGAGAAGAGGAGAGAGGAGAGAGAAGGGAGAGAAGAGGAGGGAGAGGAGAGGGGAGGAAGAAGGAGAGGAAGAAGGAGAGGAGAGAGGAAAACAGAAGAAAGCAGAAGAGAGAAGAGAGAGGCAAGGGGAAGAAGAAGGAGAGGAAAGAAGAGAGGAAGGGAGAAAAAGGGAGAGGAGAGGAAGAAGAGGGGAAGGGAGGAAGAAGGAGTGGGGAGGAATTAGAATAACAGAGTTGGAAGGGACCTTGGTGGTCGTCTAGTCCAACCCCCTTGGTGGTCGTCTAGTCCAACCCCTGCTTAGGCAGGAAACCCTACACCACTTCAGACAAAGAAGGGAGCGAGGAAGAAGGAGAAGGGGAGGGAAGACAGAGAGGGAAGGAAGAAGGAGATGAGAACAGGAAAATCAAGACCAAGACCCAACAATCTTGGTCATCAAGGC